AAAAAAAAAAAAAAAAAAAGAGCTTGTTTCTCTGGTTAGTCATAAGATGTTCAAATGGATTAATGAAGTCATTTGGTGTCCAATGCACATGTGCATCTATATTATATAGATACTCCCTGTAAGCACTGAGTAGATATAAGAATTTTTTTTGATCCACATAGATGTGTTTCATAACAAATGTTTCCTTTTGTTTGTAAAAAGGCAATTGTATTATAATGTAGTTGCATTGTAGATTTGAGGGGTGGGATTTGCCCAGATATTTGGAAATTGTGTCTAGATATGAGGAAACCTTAATTAGGCCACATGAACTTTATCCTCATGTGTTGCCGTTAGGGTCTCATGGAAAAACTATGTCGCAAAGAATAAGCACGCTTATTAAAACTGTATTTTAAATAAAGGTGACCATTTGCTCACTCAGGCAAAATGGCAAGCTTTCTTTATTTATTGTTGGTTTACATAGGCAATCTTGTGCATGTGCACTGTACAGCAATGACCTTATTAATCTTCATTACAATCCCTCTGCACATGCACACTGGACATCAGTGACTTCCCTCTGCACATGTGCATTGGACACCAATTACTGCATTATCCATTTGAACATCTTATGACTAATTACCTTGTAAGTAGCTCCTCCATAGTAATCTGATAATTCACTCAACATACACCTTTTAAGCATAACCCTTTCAACATAACCCGGTTTAACATAACTTAATGGAGAAAATGTTGTCAGCCATTACTTCTTTTGTTTTTATCTGATGAAGCCTGAGGCTATGGAGGAGAGAGACGGTTTGAAAGTCTGTCCTACTGACCTGCCCATTTGGAGGCAGTTACTTCGATCTTTAATACAAGGCACAATTAAGAAACTTCTAGGGCATACAGAAATTTGTGTGCAAACCTCCAGTCCCTTGTGGGCCTTAAGTCAGGGGGTTTTTACACTCACAATCGACCAGGCCAACCTTAGGTCAGGGGGCTTTTAGGCCCACAAACAGCCCAGCCATATGGGATTCTGCCTCAGTTCCTCACAACTATGCCTACACAAAGTCTTTTCACTGCTCTCTCTCAAACAGTTTTTTTTGGCCAGAGGCATATAGGCCTTTCGCCTATACTCATGAAGGCTGAATTCCATTTTTGTTCTCATTAGACTATTCATTGTAGACAGTTGAGATTCACAGGGTTGAAGACTAAGAGCACTTATGGCAAGATGACATCTCCGCCTGCCTGTGAGACTGGGTTGATGGTGTTAAGTCTACCTGGGCAGCTTAGCAGGATGCTCTTTCACTCACTCTCCACAGTGAACCACCCACCTGAGCCCACTGCAGATGTGAAAGGCTCTAGCTGTCAAGGGCCCTGCCGTGTTCCAGGTGGAAGCGGTCACTGGCCAGAGACTGCAGAGCAACCATTATGTGGAAACAGGGCTGTTGAGGAGCACAGCCAGGCCTGGGGTTGGAGTCCTGGGCTCTGTAAAGTCCTGTTCTTTCCCTGTTATGCTTTATGGCCACACTTGTACATAACATTAACCTAGCTTTTGTTGTTCGCATTGGAAGCCTGGCTATTACCATCTACAACATTTCCAGGGGAAATACACCAAGCATTCCAGAAAAGTCATTGACTGATAAACTTCTGGACCCCTTTCCATGTTAAAGTCAGTAACTAAGTATTTGGTGCTTTTTAGTTTTAGATTAATTTTACTTTATATATTTAACATTATTTTGGCATGCAACCATCCAAATAAATATTTAGATTGTCTTTTTGTTCACTACATTTCTTCAAAACAAATTATTAAATAGTTGTGGAATGCTGGATTTTATAATTGTCTATTAGTGACATCACCCATTGTCGGTCATCCACCCATGGCCCAGTAAACACAACAATGTCTCTCTCTTTTTTCCCAAATTATCATATTTCATAGCAACTCTCAAAACTTTAACAAATATACTTCTCATAAACCTTAACAAATTATGCTTCTTCCTAAAATGATTAATTTTATAATTTTAATATCTAATATCTATAATTTTAATATCTAATGACTTTTTCCCCATTGAAAGACAATTGTATGTTTTTTTGTTTTTTTGAGACAGAGTCTCATTATGTCACCCTCGGTAGAGTGCCATGGAGTCACAGTTCACAGCAACCTCAAACTCCTGGGTGTAAGTGATTCTCTTGTCTCAGCCTCCCAAGTAGCTGGGACTACAGGTACCAGCCACAATGCCCATCTATTTTTTTGTTGTAGTTGTCATTGTTGTTTAGCTGTCCCAGGCTGGGTTCTAACCCACCAGCCTGGGTATATGTGCCTGGCACCCTACCTACTGAGCTACGGGCACCACCAACTGTTGTATGTTTGAGTTTAAGTCGTAAAGCCTTTCAGATCTGGCCTAGCAGATTTCATCTGGCCCATGACTATAGTGAGCTGAACAGCTTTGTTAAAGGGGCCTAAGGACCACAGAGCCACTGCTCGGGAAGCAGCCCCCACCAGCTTTGGTCCAGAAAAACAGTGGCGTACCTTGTTTTTCTCTGAAAGACAGTAGTTTTGGATTTGAGTGTCTACATTGACTACCCAGAGTGAGAAGAGTCAGAAAACCAGCCTGGATTTAAGTTTAAAACTATAGTTTTGAAAACAATGCTGGTGATGCAGGTACACTGGCAGACCACAGCTGTCCCCTGCTTTGTCCCTCTAGATGCTCCTGCTGACTATCTGGTGACTTTTTCCTGAGGGTGTCCCCTGACCTCTATGCTTCCAAGTGGCCTGTGCACAGTTTAATAGGTCAAACAAGCTGAGAGGTCACATTGCTTTGGTGTCATAATTCAGTGTGTGAGCTTTATCTTTTTTATTGCAGGTTATTATATGCTTTTATTTTATATAATAGGGTAATATTGAGAAAAAGGAAAGAAATTTCCTGAAATATGTTATCCTATAATTGGTATGGAATTTTTTGGTGGGGGAGGGTGGTTGGCAGGGAACCTCTTTTAGTTCAAAAATCCCACTATTACTTATTTCCCAACTTGTTAAAACAAAAATCATTAATCCCTGAACCTAAAGTGTACAGTACTACTAGTTTATAGGTGCTTTTTTAAGTAGACTTCTTTTTTTTTTTTTTTTTTTT